CAGAGAAAGAGCTGGCAAAAATAGAAGCTGACAAAAATCTGAAAAAGAAAGTGGTGCCAAAAACGAAAGTGGTAAGGATTTTATTAACTCAGTAACTTCCTAGTTGTAATTAATGATGTCACTCGTTAAGGAACCGGAAAAAGCAGCAGAACCGAAACGGACAGTACGAAAGATCGTCAAAGACAAACCCCAAGAAGCAGGTCCGCTTCAATTGAGCTTGAATTTGAAAGATCATCCAAATGAGAGTTTCCAGTGGGAACTACTCAATACCTCATTTCAGCAGCTCCAGTCCCCTCATTTGCCACGGTGCCCAAACCAGCCACAGCGGCGGCTACTCCCAAAACAGCAGCAGTGGCTGCCACTGCTCCAAAATCGGCTGCCTCCACTGCCGCGGCTGCTCCAGCTTCTGCAGCACCAAAAGCTCCCGCTGCCACTAAAGCAGCTGCAGTTGCTGAGCCGAAGAAGGCGGAATCGACAGCGCCCAAAACTGCCGCGCCTGTGGCTAAGGTACCCTCTCCCCGTCACCCACCTTTACCGTGATCTGCTTTGGAATATCCTTTTTTATTTTCAGCCCCTAAGTACGCAAAAGCCAACCATCCCCAAGAATGATGTTGTTGTAAACGACGACAACTATGATTTGTTTGAGGTATCTTTTCCTTGTCTGCGCAGCTCCTTTCCACTGATTCACTGGGATTTTTTGAAGGCCGCCACGAATGTAGCGACAAGGCGACGGAAAAGTTTGGCCGAAATCCAAGCTCGTAGGGAACAACAAGGAGCTGCTGTGGCTGCTGCCAAGAGTGGCATTGAACAGAAAGAGGTGCGATAGGGCTTCATATCGAACACGGCTCCTATGAGAAAAAAGATTTATTTTCAGGCGGCCCAGTCTACAGCGAAACCTGGACCGAAAGGTGATGGTGCTGCAGCTACCAAAATTCGAAATGTAAGGGTTTTGCACGATTTGCGGGCCAGGCTGAGCTTAGAGCTCTGAGCTTGGTCTACATATTGTTAAACGAGCAGGGATACGGTATAAAGCGACCGTACTCGGACCTCAGACTCGTGCCTTTGACAACCATCTCTAAATATACATTTAGTTGTTTATTTGTTTATTTATCTAAGCTGCCTACTCTTTTGAAAAACACGGTGAACATAAACACTCTAAGACTCTAAGAATCATTGAACCAAACAAGGTGCAGTGAGATTGAAGACGTGACCACTGTAAGGAGGTCCCTAGCTACGGTAGCAGAGACTGTAGCCTGCTCCCTATCCAAATAATTGCGTCCTAAAGAGTGATCTCAAACTTTAATATTTCGTTGGCTTGCCCATAAGTTCTCAAATCAACCCTATTCCCAGGCTCTTGCAAACGCAACCAATGTTCGCAAGCCTGAAACCCCCTCTCCAAAACCGGAGGGTGAAAAGCAGATGAAACGATATGCGGGCCGACGGAAAACCCAGGAAATTGTCAATGAATCAGCCGAGCCGAAGGTGGGTTTATTCGCTCTAACTACTTTGGACTATACTGCAGTACCATTGCTTACAGATGAAGAAAAGGAAGCAAATGTACAAACGAAACCGATTTATCCGTGATCCACATGATATCGATGTGTTACTTGGATGGGACAAAGAGAACACCTTCGAAAAGGTTCGTACGTTTTTGAGCTTGCCCTGACTATGGTTATACGGCAATCTCTGGAATATTTTAGTTTTAACGGCCGGGCTCCCAAACTTTTTACCTCGATCTTTTTGTTTCATTGCAATAAGACTTTTTCATGTCCCATCCAAACCGAAAAGCCTTTTTGGAACCGATCGCGTGCGCTCTTGCCATCACTGCGATGGGTAGCCATCATTTGCTGGGCCACTAGCACCTTGCACGATAAGACAAATAGCCATCAGCCGCTCCGCGGCGAGACATCTAGTCAAAAGCCGCCGCGGCCCAGAAGACGGGTGTCAGGAACGATTTTGGATAATCGATTTGCCGCACCCGGCTGTCGCGGACCACTAGTTCGCCGTTATTACAGCTCTAGCGTTCTTCATACAGCTCAATCGATATGCAATCATTATTTTATGCACAGTTCTACTATTAGCACTTTTGTTCTTGTATTTCTTACCTACTGCTGCATCCTGCTACATCCTTCGCGCGACCCCCCTCTCACCGCGACGCGACCATTTCGTTCCTAACGCACCACACCCCTGCGGCCCGAGTTCGATGCCACATTCCTGTGCCTAGGCTCGTATTCAGGCTTTTCAGTTCCGAAAAAAAAGCTTTCAAAGGAAGTTTTATCGTACAGCGGTTAGGGAAAAAAGCAGTTACGATGAAAGGGAGTGAAAGGAATAGTAAATCTGAATTTTGCTATCATGTCAACGCCTCATTTTTAGATATTTTGAGGCTTCCGTCCAATGACAGACGATAACCTTGGCCTTTACCTTACCTGATTACATTTATTTTAATTTTGATGGTTCATCTTCAGATGGAACAAATGTTCATGTTGGCATCCAAGGACCGTATCAATCGACCACCACAGAAAAAACGAAAACGAGGACACGGATCGAAGATCTGGATTAGCGACCTTACCGTGAGTGATGGATTGACCGACCTATAGGGACGTAGTGATTCGAAAACCATTTTCATTCCAGGACATCGATAAAATCTACAAAGCGTCTGAAATTCGGGACATAATAGCCTCGGCCAATGTATAGAGAAACGACGATTTGCAATTGTTTACATGTTTGTTATTGTACATTAAATTATTGTTTGTTTGATAAATAAGTGTGCCTTTGGTTTTACATACAGTATATCCTGCATATAAGCAAGAGTTAAAATTGTTA